ACAATATGTGATGATCGAGTCAATAGTATTGGGGTGTTTATTATTACAATTGTAATTATTCTTTGTGTCCCTTACCTAATTTCTCCCTAACCCTCTCCCCCTCTGCCTTTGCCAACTCTTGAAACCATAGGTCTGTTCTGAGACACTTTTCTACCCCAGCCTTGCTTCTCTGGGAGAATCCTGACCTGGGACTGGTCCCCCACATGGCTGGGAGCTCCTGGAAGGCAGAGGCCCAGGCTGAGTCCTTTTCATGTCTCCAGAGCACAGAAATGGTCTGGGTAAAAAATTGCAGATGGGAAGGCTGTGTGGGAGAGTTTGCTGAACAAAGACAGGATGGATGGATGATGCAGGTGTTGTGGACAAGACATGGATTAGTCTTTCTCCCAGGTGTTCCTGGTGAATCCCTGGACTAGTCAGAAGTGTAGGAATTAGGGTAAGAGGAGCAAACATCCAGAGAGTGAAGGTGTTTGAAAAAATTGCTAATTTAGGGAGATAAGGAAGGGAGTGGAGGGAAGTTTATTTACTGAATATGCGCTGAGTGGCATTGCCACTAATTCTCTCAACAGCACAGACCTTGTGTTCCAAATACTTGCAATTGTTCACCTGCTAACCAGGCCCTGACTCTGGGCTCTGCTTCTTTTCCCACTAAGTCACAATTGTAGAATTAACAAAAACTACTTGCTACTTTCCCCACCTAAGGATCAGGGCCAATGAAAGGGGCTCAGGAACAGGCCACGAGGACCTGAACTCACCATTCAATCTCTTGAGGCTCACGGTCCCTCAGGAGCTCTCGCACCTCCTGCCGGCAGCGCTCCTGGTATTCCGGATGCTTTGCGAGGTTGTACAGAACCCAGGAGAGGCCACTGGCTGTGGTGTCATGACCTGAGGGGTAGCCAGACAGGCTTGGGTCTCTGGGCTGCTTCAGCACCGGAGGGGTGGACAGCGCCCTCACATTGAGACCCTCAGGGAGGATGGGGGAGGGGAAGATGGGCAGAATGGAGTGATTCGGGGTCCAACAGCCACATCCCTGGGATTGAGAGACACCTGTTCCCACTGTAGTCCCACACTGTGACCCTCACCCTCAAACATGAAGGTGTCAGCCTCCGCTCTGATGTCTTCATCTGACAAGTCCTTCCCATCTTCATCCTGGAGAGAAGACAATGTCCGCATATCACACTAGCTCGGTGAGTTGCTGAGTCTAACCTGAGACAATCCTGGATATCCAGCATCCTTCCTGAAACCCAAGCTCACTCTACACGTAGACCTCTCCTGGTCACCATCACCAGAGCCCGACCCCACTGGCTTCCACCCTGGCTACCTTGAGCCCTGTTTTTTATCCATAGTGGGAGAAATCAATGATCCATGAATATTTTCATGATTCTGCATGATGAGAACTTTTAGGAGAAATTACTGGCAACCTGGGTTACAGGATGGTGGAATGGCAATTTGTCTCGGAAGTTAGAGATTAAGTATTGCTCCAAAGATATTTGTGCATATTCCAAGTGGTAGATCCAGAATCTTATCTCCCCTGGAAATATTTGGATTGTAAAGCTGGAGACATTGCCATCTCATTGGAGAGGATTTCAGAATGAATAAATAAGTAAAGTGTTTCTCTCTCTCTCTCTCTCTCCTCTCTTTCTCTCTCCTCTCTGTCTGTATGTGTGCGTGTGTGTGTATGTCTTTCTCTCTATGGAAGGAAAAATAGTAGTATGTCCCATCTGTTCTGTATTATCCAAGACTCATCATGTGGGTGGCTTTCTTATGATGCAAACTCTGCCACACATACAGGAAATATTTGGTGCTGTCCTCAAAGAATTTGTAAACGGGAGTCAGAGCTACCATCCTACTCTGGCTGCTGTTCTTGCTGCAAGTAATAAATGAGCTGCTCTTAGGCAGGGGTTTGGTGAATCTGTCAGCAAAGACATAGACCTAGACAAACACATAGATACAGGTATATAGATATAAATAACATGGCAGAATAACTTGCTAAGTTGTAAATAGAGTAAAATCTCAGGCTATTCCCATTTTAAACTTAGCAGTCTTCTGCTGACTGCACTCCACAGAGTCATCTCTAGAATCTGTCTCTGACCTGTTCGTCCCTTTCTCCAATAGTTTCCAGGGCTCCCCAGTTCCCCCTGGATCCAGTCTGAGTTCTTTATATCTGACCTTTGACATAAAGATCCATTCTACCCCTTGGATGCAGGTCCCAGAGCAGCCCACCTTGCTCAGCAGGAGCACATCGATGAAGTCCAAAGTCTTGGTCTTGGCCTTGGCCTTGAGGAAATCATCAACACCATGATCGGGGAGGGTGCGGCGCCTCTCCTGGATGACGGCGTCTGTGAAGTCGTGCACCAGGCGGCAGTCCCTGAGGAAGCGCCGCCCATTGGCAGTGAGATAGTACAGGAGGTCCACGTGCAGGATGGGATGACGTTGCCTTTTTGATACAAGGGCGCTGAGCTCCAAGATGGCGGCAATATACTCACTGGGCTTCCTGCAGGATAAGGACATAAAGGAGGCAACAATGTAACACACCTGAAGTCTGTGAAGGAACTCCCACCAGCAGCCGGAGCTACTTCCCATTAAGAGACTGAATGTCCAGAAGCAGACGGTCTCACAGATACACAGTGGGTATCTCCAAACTCTCTTCCCTCCATCCCATCTCAGTCCACACAACTCAGACCCCAAGCGTTTCCAACTGGTTCAAGGCCCAGTACTTTCTCTATGCTCTTTGCATCCAATGTGAACTCCATTTATTGTCTACATGATGTCAGTCCTTCGGAGAGCTCAGCTCTGACCATGCCCATCATCAATGCAAAAACCTTCCATACTGGCCTGGTAACCTCCTGATAATGTTCACATCCCTTTGCCCAGTTTTTCTATGTCCTTGAGATGTAGGATCTGTCTACCTCTACACCTCATTCCACTGTCTGTTGCCCATGCTCTGCTCATCCTAGAGTTCTTGCCTTTACTTAAATATATCTCCCTGCCTGCAAGACTATGGTTTCTCTCTGTCCTACCCTGCCCTTCAGTGCCCAGATCTGACCCACCTCCTCAAGGAAGGCTTTTCTGGTTGCCCTGGCCAGCCCTCCCTCCCCTACCTGTTCCCTTGGGTCCATGGCTAGTTCCCAGGCACTGGGCAGGGACTCACTCCTGACAGTTGCTGTCGAAGCTGAAGACACATTTCTGCAGACTGTCCAAGGTCATGAGGCTGATGTGCTCAAACATGTCCAGATTGGCACTGCCCTGTGACACTAGGCGCTGCCACTTGGCCTAGACAGGGAACAGGAGAGAACTGGGGCTGGGACCTGGATCCCCTGAGCCCCTCCCCAGCCCCAACCACCAGGACAGACTCTCCCAGATTCAGCCTCTAGGAATTCTGCCCCAGGTACCCATCACCAGGGAGGACCAGGCTTGGATGAGAGTGGAAGCTGTTATCATTGGGAGATGAAGACCCAAGGCTGGGAGTCAGGAGACCTGGGTTCAAGTCCCAGCTCTGCCTCCTCTGCTCTGTGTGACTTTGGTCAACTCAAATGCCCTCCCTTGGGCCCCCCCTGTGAAATCGTCAGTAACAATTAAAGTGACCTGCTCTGGTGTAAGATAAACAAAGTTAGAATCCCGGCTCCACCACGAGTAGCTCTTTTGCTAGCAGGGTGAATTTGGGGAAGATCCCTCTGAACCTCATTTTCATCATCTGTAATGGGCAATAATAACCTCTGTCCC